ACCCTCCTTAACTCACCTGATCTCGCACCATGCGATTTCTTTCTCTTTCGCCGCTTGAAAGCAAAGCTACATGGTCGTAGATTTCAGTCACCCGAGGAGGTCATCAATACCACAAGAGATGCTGTATGGGAATTTCCTTCCAATATGTTTCAGCAGTGTTTTCGGCAGGCATCTCAACGTTTGAGGACTTGCATAGTGGCCAGCTGCAACTATTTGGAGGACCGACATGGATCCGTGTAAGTGTATGTGAATACCTTGTAATAAGATGTGATAAAACCACAGTCCATGAACTTAATGACTGTACCACATATAACTGCCATGTTATAAATATGTGAAGAGATTAGTGTAGATTAGTAAGAGAATAATTTCAATCTGAATAATATTGACTGATTGAAAAACCATTTTTATTGTGTTGATGGATAATTATTACCCAAACATATGCTTGATTCATACAGCTGATATTCGCAAATGATGTTCAGTGAAAAGCATTGACCTGTGATACAGATCCTGCTAAACATCAGACTCAAGTTGAACATGATTAGGAATTCCTATGTATCACATGCAATCATGTGGTGGTAAATACACATTGTATACTGAACAGCATAATTTAGGATGTGTAAGTCTCTCTGTATGTTATTGCCACTCCTGGCTTAGAGCCCACTCCAAAATTATACTGGGTAGCTATAAAAGAAATAGACACTTTCAACGTTCTATAGAAACCAAAGTAATATTGATATAGCCAAAATACTTACATGGTTTTTTAGTATATGTCTTTAAGTCTGTGTGACTAAGTTACAGATGTTCTATGTATGAGCCTTTTGTCCCATGACAGATGTCAATGCAATAATCCATTTCGTTCCAAACACACCTGAGCATGTCCTCATCAGCACTCACAACAGTTCTTATGATATGTTGCTTTAGATCGTTTACACTTACAGGAAGTGGAGGGACAAAACTCTGTCTTTGATATATCCCCAAAAGAAAACAATCACAAGGTGTTAAATCCCGGCTTCTTGGTGGCCATCATGTAAGTGCCATGTTCTCGTATGTTGAGCAGCAAATTCGGTGTTTAGGCAGATTGTGATCCAGGTAATTTCTAACTTCCATATGCCAGTGAGGTGGCATTTAGGACTGTGCATGCACTTCCACTTTTTTTCCCTTGGCACTACAGCCTCAGTGGCCTTAGGCCTACATCCATGAACTTCTCCATTCACTTCGATATTTCTAGATCTTACACATTCGGTAGGACTCCTTGGGCAGGTGATCAGCTCGTCGCAAGGCCTCTACCTGTACACAAACACAGAAAAACGCATACACACAAACTAAACATCCATGCCCTGAGTGGGATTCGAACCCACGATCCCGGTTTCCAAGCAAGTAAAGACAATACACGCCTTAGATTGCTCGGGTACCGTGACCGGCATGCGATTCCAATAGTGGAGTTTAAATTCCGGACTGACCAAAACAGGGTACTTTGGTCAATGAAATAAAAAGTTAGCACCATCTATGGAACAAAACGTGAACACTCGAGACTAAATCCTCATGGAAAGCCACGACATGTCAGTCTGACCGTGTTATCGCGCAGCTATTTAAGGACTTGAGACCAAGCTAAATTTGCGCGAGTTAACTGAAAAAAGGAAATAAAACTTACCGCCAATTCTGGAGTAAAACCTGAACACTCGAGACTAAAACCTCGTGGGAAGCCACGATGTGTCAGCCAAACCGTGATATCACGCAGCTATTTAATGGCTTGAGACGAAGCTAAATCAGTGTAAGTTAACAAGAAAAAATTAAATTACATACTTAGCGCCATCTGAGGAGTAAAACCTGAACACTCGAGACTAAAACCGCATGGAAAGCCACGAAATGTAGTTAAAAATGTAGCATCTTTGTTTCTTATTATCTCACTTATTGGGCTGTGCAAACCGCCACTCTGAAGAATTCATTTTATTATAGTGTAGGGCATGAGGTACTGGGCAGCCTCGTGAAACTCTCATGTTATTGGTGGGCAACATGGTCGCCATGACACCACGGTGCTGTAAACCAAGTCGTAGTATATGATGAGGATCGCAGAAAGTAATACGATAGATGTTATGGTGGCCTAGAGGTAAGGCACCGGCATTGTAAATGTAAGGTTCGTGGTTCGAAAACCGAAGTATTTTAGTAGTGAGATTTTTATGGAATTATATAGCGACATGTAAGATAAGAGGAAGATTAAAGTCAAAAATTTCCGTGGCATCGGTGGCCAATTGGTAAAACACCGGCGTAGTGAACAAGCGTTTGAAGGTTCGAGACCAAGTATAGTTTTGTGATTTAGAAAGTAAGTTAATTGATTTTTCTGGAATTATAGTCGAAGATGTAGCTTAAGAGGAAGATTAAAGAAAATAAATTTCAGTGGCGCTGGTGGTCTAGTGGTAAGACACCAGCTTAGTATTCAGAAGTCCCGGGTTCAAAACCAGTAGGATTTTTGTGGAAAAAAATTAAATGAAGAAAACCAACGGCAGTGCAAGAAGTGAAGAGATAGAGATAAGGTGTGGCGGGGGCGAGGGAGGGTAGAATTTTTTTTTTTGCGGCCGCTTCGCGGTCATTAAGACACTCAACCTAAGCGGGTTTTATTAAAATCCACGTGGGATCAAAAAGAAAAAAAAATTTGGCCCACCGTCCACCCACCAACCACCCGCCCTTAGGGGGTGACTTTGACTTATTCATTTGAGACCAAATTCTATGAGCGAGATTTAGCAAGAAAATGTAATATAACTGCAGCGCATTCTGTTGACTAGAACCTC